GGTTATACTTATCCCATGGACCGCTGTTCTCAGTTTAGCTATGAGAGATGAGGTATTATATAACGTGACTATATCATTCACAGTTGTGATACTTCATGTGAAATATCATCTGTTATTTATGAATAAGGTAAAGGTCAGCATCATTTTAAGTGTGTTCGAACATTGCGCCAAGAAAACAAAACCATGCAGCTGTATTGCTTTTATTGCAGCAACAACTTCAGACAGGATAATGATTACTCAAAAGTTGCAACCACAAAATTATCGACTGAATGTATATTTTGAAAAGATATTGATGGAAGGTTACACATTTATATTTTTGTCGATTATCGATAACAGATGATGACTGCAACTGAATGTAAATGTGTGTCAACTACTTGGATGTCAGGCCTTATTAGCATAAATTAGCATATAATTCGTAAATGTAGTTCCAAAAAATTACAAATTCTCTGTCGTTTTGACACTTGGTCATGTGATAAAAGGACATCACCCATTTGTCGAGCTTGTTGATACTTGTGCATCATGGGTAGTCTACCAAGTCACTCGTACAAATCAGCTTTACGAAAAAGTAATATCAGGAGATAATCTCATAAAGTGATATTTTGTTTTGATCAACATTGTTTTATTCTTCATACAGCCTGAAGAAGCAGTACCGTGTAGGTTTGAATAATATCAATAAAAACATTATTATTCACTATAATCATTGATGTGATTTGCATCTTTACAACCCGATTATGTTATTTTCCTAATCTTCGTGGAGGTTATCAGAAAAGGGTATGCACTTTAGAAATCCATGTACATTGATATGCAATCCCATTTCATACGAGCTCCATAAGCATGCCAATCAAACTAACAGAATGACAATGCCATGAAAGGTCTGATTGTGAGTGAGGTTAAAACAGTGCCAAACACCTATATGTGTAGTATGCCCTCTACGAAATAGCAAGGACACTAAAAAACACTCATTTTTCTGCTTATAGACTGTCATCTGTGTTAGTATTTCTAAAATACATGACTGTTTTGCGATTATTTCACAAAATTTCAAATATTGGATATTCATCATATATATCACACCAGTTGTAATGTCATTATACTGTAGAATACTTTATTTTCGCTTGGAATTTATTTCCGCTATTTTCGCTGAAGGAATGATTCAGTGAAAATAAAATCCAGCAAATATACCTTTTTCCTATATTTTAATTTCAACTTGTCAAAAATCTGTGAAAATAAATTCCATACAAATCACTAAAAATGTCTTTTCAGCGAAAATTTATTCCAGCTAGAATAAAGTATTTTACAGTATTTCAGTTGTAATGTTATACACATTTATTCTACAAACATGTAATTCATATAAATTTGTGTGTTCATTTGAGTTAAAAAAAACAGAAATGTGTTCACAACTAATATTTACAAAGAAATTATTAAATAATCAACTTTGAAAATCTCAATTCATGCTCTCATCATTGTCTCGCGTTGATTAACATACAGGATTTTATAATAACACATTGCATCATAAATCTGGCAAGCTGGAGGGTCAATTCAAACATTAATTAATTACCTATCATTCACTAACTTTAGTGATTAATTATATAATTAATTAATGGTAGGTATTATGAGAAAGTATTACATGTACTTTTATGTACTTGCAAATATCTGTATTTATGAAGAAAACCATTGACTTAAATAGGCAGCCTCTCGGCTGAGATATCTCTGAAAATATCATCACAAAATGAACAAATCTGAGATCGATTCACATGAGGTACCTATATGTATAATATCAGAGCCATCAAACTTGCAGTTTTCAACATTCAAAAATGTTACTTTTATCGAAAAATTACAAAAAGTTGACGCGAACAACGATGGACACCAGACAATTGACAATCACTCATATGATAAGCTCCTCTCGACAAATTCGACAGCGGAGCTAAAATAAATATTGATATTGAAATGAAAAAAACTGAGAAAGAAAGGCCTGCCAGGCAAGCTCATTTGCATACTGTTTGGCAGAATCACTTTTCACAAAAAATTCCATACCTAAAAATGAAACATCCCAGCAGTTTTATAAAAGGGATCTACCATAGATGGTCTTAATAGAGTGAGATTTAGAACATAATTTTGCTAACCTTATACTCATCAAAATGAAAATAAAACTTAAATAATCAAATTTTATCATTTCTATTAGTCACTAAAAAAAAAGCATGGTTTGTTGTACTTTTCATAGCCAGTATTTACTTTGGCTGATATGAATAATCAACATTTGAACTGAGCTGTTATTGCTGTAAAGACTGACACATGCTGTTTTATACTGTGCCACCATTAGCAGCTTAGCAGCCCCTGGCTACATGGCATGTAGTTTTTTTTATTCAATTTATCATATCAATAACATTTATTACTACATCATTATAAATGATTACTTGCACTGTTGATATGGAAACATGTTTTTCAAGTGAACAATACTGACAAATTATTCAACAGGCAATATGTAAAATAGTGGAATGAATCTCAACCAATCAAAAAATCACGCATGGAATAGATGTCAGCCAATCATACTATCATACACACTCAACCAATGGATATTATTGCACTGGCTGTATGTAAATTAGTGGAATCTCAGCCAATCATGAGATTCCACATGGTGACTTGCTCAACCAATGGGTATAATTCTACAAGCTGTATGTAAATTAGTGGAATAGATGTCAGCCAATCACAAGATCATATACGCTCAACCAATGGATATTATTGCACTGGTTGTATGTAAATTAGTAGAATGAATCTCAGTCAATCACAACATCACATATGGTGACTTACACAATCAATGATTCTTTATTCCACTGGCTATATGTAAATTAGTGGAATCTCGGCCAACCACGAGAACACACATTGTGACTTGCTCAACCAATGGGTATAATTCTACAAGCTGTATGTAAATTAGTGGAATAGATGTCAGCCAATCACAAGATCATATACGCTCAACCAATGGATATTATTGCACTGGTTGTATGTAAATTAGTAGAATGAATCTCAGCCTATCACAACATCACATATGGTGACTTGCCCAGCCATAGGATATTATTTTAGTGGCTATATGTAAATTTGTTAAATAAATCTCAGCCAACCACAAGATCCCACATAATTTTACAGAGTCTGAGTTTTACTACTGTCTTGTATGTTTGTTTTTGTGAGAGTGAACCCTGAAAAATATGCAAATTAGCATGCAAATTAGTCCGCCATGCTTGCCTCTGATCCTGGGGAGAACACTGCAGACCATGTGTAAATTAGAAGAATAGATGTCAGCCAATCACAAGATCATACTTTCCCAACCACTGGTTATAATTCTCCAGGCTGTATGTAAATTAGTGGAATAGATGTCAGCCAATCACAACACCATATCTGGTGACTTGCTCAACCAATGGGTATAGACTAAATTTGCAGTTACCAAATACAAGTCGCAAGAAATTTGAGACAGTAATGTCAATCCAGAAAAACATGGAGACAGAGTGAAGAAAGAAAAAAAAATGGCTGGCAGTTTGATCTTGGCAACAAGTCCTGCAATCCACTAATGAATTATCATCATTCAAAGTTGTTATGGTGAAACACCAGGTGCTACATGATTAATAACACTTTATAATTAATAAATTAAAATACTTAATAAATTAAGTTGTAAAGATTCTATGATCATTAACTGTTTATTTATGACTTGTGGTTCAACTAATTTAACCCAGTGAATCGTTTTTTTATCACAATAAATCAGAACCCTCTGGTGGGATAAAGTATTTAATAGTTAGATACAGTACTTATATGATATGAAATGAATATTCAAATCAAATACTTCTAATGAATGACGTCACAGTATGCAGTGAACACTTGGAAATGTTTGATTGGGTGAAAAGAAATGAGGGAGATTATCACTGTATTAGGGAAACACAAATGCATATACACTGTACACGAGGAGTACCATGTTCTTCAGTGTGCCACAAAGCCAGACTGACTAACTTGATTAACAATCATTATCAGTGGTCCTAAGACTAAACTGAGCCAGCATTGTTATTGGCCGCCATGTTTCCATAAAATACTTGCAATGAATGGAACTCCAGAGCGAGGCTGAATTTGAGGGCGTGCTTTTAAGGTGGCGTTATTGTTCGCACATGCTAAAACTGTTTCTGTAACGGTGTTGGTTGAGACATGCCATTTAAGAAGCCATGGCGTTGGCTTATTTTGTTCATTCGTGTTTCATCATCGGCTCAACTATGAAGCTGGTCCCCAAACTTATGTGAATAAGCAAGTAAAAACAGCCTAAGATGAACACTAATCAGTTCTTTCACAGTCTCACTCATTTGCATAGGTATTTCTAGACATGCATGTTTGGTGTTATATTCTGTGATTATATCTCACAATCTTGTATATCTTGCAATATCACGCCAGTAGCATTCTCTCATCTTATGAACCTTTATTCGTGGCTTTAGCTTTATGTAAATTACTTCTTACTATTTAAATAGGAATACTTTATTTTCACTGGAATTAATTTTTGCTGAATAGGCTTTTTCGGCGTTTTGCTTGGAATTTATTTTCACTGATTTTTGATGAGTTTAATGTGAAATATAAGAAAAAAAGTATATTCGCTGGATTTTATTTTCACGGAATCATCCGAAAATAGCGAAAATAAATTCCAAGCAAAAATAAAGTATTCTACAGTATTGTCTATAAGCCGGTACATAATTTTGCTATACAGTTTGGCAGACAATGTTAATGTTGACCATATCGGTATGTATTATATATTTCATAACAGCAGCAGTGAAGAATGCCATTATTTTGTAATGATGATAAAACATGTGCACACAGCCAATAAACAAGTGTGTCCACCAATAGAGAAAGTGGCTGGAAATGCACACATTCTCTCTTACCAAACTTTACCACTTGGGGGCGCTATGCACATATATTACCTGGTATGAGTGAAGTGACAAGCACATTGTAAATGGTAATAGTGCAGAGAAATGTCTGTTTACCTGTCTAGACCATTGTCTTTGGGTTCCCAACTTTCTTCAATTCTGAAACAAAGAAGAAATTAGCTCAATAAGATTCAATGTTTCAATAATCCTTGACCACATTTTTAAACTGTTATATTATACGCAAACATATTTGGCTTGGTATTTATTGGAAGAGTATGGGCATTAATAATCTAACAGGGATTAAACTTCACGGCAGCAGCAGAGGCCATTGCTTTGTTACCAATGTTATAATATGTACTAAAAAAATGGGTGCCTTCTCACAACTATGAAGTTCAAGCACTGTTATAGCGTGATATACTGTATGACTGAAGATCAGACCATTATTATAGGATGATACAACAGCCCAATAGGGCTTGACATACACATGTCATGTGACTCAGCTGAAAGGAGGACCTCAAATGCGAACAGAAAATCAATCAAACTTCTGCATATAATGACTGAATTGCTAACCCAAGCTTAGACTACCGATAATAGTTGTTTGAGTTTTATGGTCAGATATCTAAGCCAAGGTGTTAAAAAACAATGTCGTTAAAACAAGATGACTCATGTTTCCCTACATGAACTCTGTAAAGCATGTCATTATTCTGGACAAGTTTCAAACTATCAGGACATGTTAACGATTGTTAAAAGGGACAATCACAGCCTAAGCAGGGAGTAGTAAAAGTGATCATATACTATGCTATACCTAAGTTAGCAAATACTTTTAAATCATACATAGAGCTGGAATTATGCTGGAAAAATAAGCATTGTCTCCATGGCAACAAAAACTATTTGGAATATATTTATGCACTTTTATCCAAATTAATTAATACAATATTGCATTGGTTTGACTATATGATAAAATTGAGTAATAAAATAACGAATCCAAAAATAAGAGTGATTCCTGAAAGCAGTTAGCAGGTAATCTCAGAGTACCATACTTAAAAATCCCCCAAAACATTGCTTACTTGGAGTTTTGACAACCTGTTGATTGACTGCATTCATAGTAAATCTGAGTACTGTAAAATCTGTATTAATGGTAAAAGCTGTGGCTTCTATTAAAATGCACTAGAGGGGATGCGGCTTCTATTAGAGCATCTCAATTGTTCTAATACAGATTTTACGGTATTTCTAAGAGATATCAGCCAAGATGTGTCTTTATTTAGATAGATTTTACTGTATAAACCCCACTATTTCCAATTTTTCCAAAATTTTTGGCAATGTAACACACAACACTTATGTCTAGTTTCCTCTAAACTCTCCTGGCAATTTGTCATGCACTGTATGTGACCATGAATTTGTCTTGTTTGAAAAATAGTTAACATGCTACCAATGTGTATATAAAGATAAATATACTGAGCATCTCCTTAAAATATCCTATAATCGCAAGAGGCCTAACGGATGAAGAAATAGTGATTCTGTGAGAAAACTGAGATGCTTAGCAAAGCGTTGAAAACATGTTCATAAATTGATGATATTGATGTTCAGTTGGGCAGTAATAACTTGTGATGAACATAATACAAAATATTGTATCGGTATATCAGTTTTATTAATCATTTCACCACCGAACTTTCTCACCCAAATTTTTCTGCACATTTTTCTTAATATATTCAATATTTCTGGAAATGAACCCTTAATTTTGGAACCAACAGACAAAATTTAAGTCAATTTTAGTATTTACTCAATTTTTTTTGTGCTAATTTTCTGAAGGAAAGTGCAGACTATAAATTATTTTGTGAATTTGTGATGAAAAGCGGGAACTGGTGGTGAAAAGCGGGAACTGGAGATGAAAAGCGGGAACTGGTGGTGAAAAGCGGGAACTGGTGATGAAAAGCGGGAACTGGTGGTGAAAAGCGGGAACTGGTGGCGAAAAGCGGGAACTGGTGGTGAAAAGAGGAAACTGGTGGTGAAAAGAGGAAACTGGTGGTGAAAAGAGGAAATTGGTGGTGAAAAGGTTACCGTAATTTTGAGAAGTAAATTATGAACATTATAATTGTAAGAATTGAAAATCCAACATTGCAGAGTCATGATGTATATACATCACGTAAGAGAACGATATGTATTTACTATAAATAAACAATTCATCGTAATTTCATTAAAATTCAATGATATATAAGATTAAAACATGCATTTTGTATGACTTGATGAAACTCAAACACTGATTTACTCACGATAAACGATAAAAGAAAAAAGAAAAAAGCAGCAACTATGCAATAAACACTGTCATTGGAAGCAACATGTGGCAACACGAATAGAGCTTTGTCTGCCTTGTATGCCCAGGCCAATAAAATACAAGCCATGCATGGCACAGTCCTTGTTAGTTATCAAATTTAAGATATACAGTTTTCTTTATAGTAATATAGTTGGAATACAAGTCATTGTCAATGACATGTCCCTGTTTCGTTCATATTTGAGTGACATATACATTCAAAGCAGATCATGACCGAAATGCACCTGCATATGTAAACACATTGTGCTAAATCTGAACAAAATCCATCCATGCATGACTGAGATCCGGTTCTGGAATTGTGAAAATACGTGATTTTGATGCATTTTCGGCCTTAAAATGGCCATCATTCCGCTATTGTTAAGCAGATCATGAAACAAATGCACATATCTATTTGTGACATGATGTACCATGTGTGTGTGAAGTTTGAACTTGATCAATCCAGACATGTCTTGGATACGGATCCAGAACTGAATTCTTTAACAAAATGGCCGCCAGTCGGCCATTT